GAGAATATTTAATTTCTTTTAACAATTTGATTATGATTATATTTGAAAGTTATCAAACCTTATTCATAAATATCATCATTTTTTTAATATGAATGAAAGTGAACAATAATATTTTAAATTATAATAACACCAAACTTGATAGACCTAAAAGCAATGTAGAAGGTAGAATAAATCTAATATAATCAATTTTTCTTTATTTTTGCATTTGACCAAAGCTTCGTTTAGGACAGCTTAATTTCTTAATATTTTTTAAAGTAGTGTTATACTAAAAATTTTTGTACTAGAAATCTATTTTAGAAAATAATAAGAAAGATTTTCCCAAATAAATTTTCATTAAAAGGCTGGGCCATCAGACACTTCATTTTTCACAATATTAAGATTTCGTATGGGACGGCTTTCTTACTAATTCTTAAAACAGTTTTTTAGAACAACATTTTTTTAAATTAAATTTTTTTAACTGGAAAGTTGCTTTATATAGCAATTAAAAAGAAGCCTAAGAGTAAATTATGAGCATTATTAATCATAAATAAAACTTTTTAAGTAGCCAAATCATCTTCCTACTGCCTTAAGAGTCATTAACACAAGTAAATTTTATCATCATTATGCCCAAATATTTAAAGATAATAATACGGTCAACAAGTCAACTCCCTAATTCCGCTGCCGTATGACTCGTCTGATCTCGCTGCTCCCCACCCACGATTGACCAATAATATTATACAATTAATATAAAAACGTGACATAATTAAACTCTTATTTTCACATTTTAAATGAGACAAACCAATCATTAATTAATGAAAATATTTCTGGTCATTGATATCAGCATCGTCTCATCGCCATCAAACTCTCCTCAACATCATCGCCCCCTTCATTATTCTAATATTTTCCATTATGGAAAGAGCTCTCAATGTTCGTTTGTTATCGCTTATAATCTATTGGAAGTCTTTTTGGGGTCTTGGAAGCATTAAATTATATTGTTTTATGCGGTTTTTAGTTTTGACAGAAACTAATATATTCAAGATCGCAATTATTGCAACCCAAAAATCTGCAATTATGAAAATAGGTGTGAATTTCATTAAAATAAATAAAAATTATTCTTGATTGTTTTTAAAAATTCAAGAGAGGATAAAATGTAATTCAATGATTATTATTACTTTACATCTGGATTGTTATTAATTAATGAGTCGATCTAACCATTCGATCATATTTGAAAAGTTAGAGTTCAGGTTAATTTGTTTAATTAACGTGTTAGATTTTGATGATGCAGGTTTCCTGCATGCTGCTTTTTAACTGCTTTCTGCTATGTTGTCTTCTTGGCTAGTTGGAATTTCAGAATCGGATAATGATGATGCAAGTTTTCTGCAAGTCCCCTTGGATGGCCTTGATTTGTTTGGCAACCTTGGTGGTGGACTCTATTGTCGATTTTTTGTGGTCTTTTGCTTGGTTTTGAAAGCTTTGTATTTTTGAGACTTCTAGTTGTTGCCTTCTCTATCTTCAAGGATGGTCTAAGCATGACAACTAGATGGCATCTTTGAGTCCGGCAACCTTCTGTGATTTGTTCTTTCTTTTTATCATTAGGCAATGTTACAATATGTCGTTTATTGTAGGATTTTTGATGTGTTGTTTCTTGTTTTAGCCTCTTTTTGGCCTTGGTTTGTATGTTTTTTCTTCATCTATTGGAAAAAAAAAGGGGTTAGATTTTGACCTAGAATTTAAACTGGTTTCATTGACGGGTGGGGTTTGAGTTAATCAGCCAATCTAATTTTGACATGATAATGACCCGTTTTAATTATTTTTTCCTTTTAATTTCTTTTACTTGTTGGTAGGCTTTTCTTATTTTTGATCAATCAACCTAAACATTATAGTTGAAAAATTAAAAAAAAAAAAAAATCAAAATGGGTTATTGAATTAGGTTTGGGCCATCTAGGTTGCTTGCCCATTGTGTTGGATTCAACCTTTTTGAGATATTTATTAAATGGGTCGGGTTCAGCCATTTGCTTTCATATCAGGTAAGACTCGAATTTGATCTGTTAACCTATTTTGACACTCCTATTTTACATCTTATTAATTAAGAGTGTCAACACTATCAGTGTAATTAATCAATATGATCATATTCCTATCAGCATCAACTTTAATAGAATTGGAAACTAATTAAGCGCCTAAACATAATTAATGGTGCCATATAATTAGATTAATCATTTTCCATTAATCTTTAATTTTTGGGTTCAAGGTCATAGAGACATACGTATACATGGAAAGCAACAAGGAAAGTGCAAAATCATATTAAAATGGCTCCTGATATCCCTCATCAATTATTTATATCTTAAAATTATAAATTTATTATTATTTATTTCTCGAAAAAGAAATGGGCAATAAATTTGTGCTAATAGAGATTAAATTAATTATTTGAGTCAAACCAATAGAAAAATTTATATGGAAATATCTGTGATACGTCATCACAAAATTAGCTTGATTGGGCACGAATCTCGAAGCAAAAGCTAGTTGGAAACTTCAAAAATTAAATCCGGGAGCATATGAACTCCGATTTCAGCAAGCTTACTGTCGAACTGAGCGTCTCGGAAATACGAACCCAACGACACCAAGATCAACCCAATCCGAGCCCAAATGAGTCCAAATCAAGAGCTCAAAGCGCTGTTGGAAGGTAAAGATGATAAAACATTCCAATAATAAAAAAATAAAGAAAGAAGCAAGCCCGCAAATGCACTAATAATTAATTATTTTAATGTAATTAACCAGTGATTATCAAATAATAAATATATAATATTATATATTAAATTTGATTTATAATTAATTTTGTGTTGTTTTATTATATATTTTTTAAAATTAATTTTACATTTAAAAAAAACCGATAAAAGACAGGTGTAGCTGTTAAGATGAACAGTGAGCTGACCGACTCTAAATAGCTTTTTTTTAATCATTAAATAATTGAAATTTTCAAATAATATGGAAGAGGTCTATCAAAATAATTAAAATAAATGATTTTAGTCGCTTTTTTTTTATTGCGATGGTGACTTATTTAAAGACTTTGGTCTATATAAAGTTCCTGTGGGTTTCCTCTTTTTAACGCACTGATATGAACGATGATAGAAAGCATTTATTTGACAGTTTCAATGGTTATGATGAGGCGTTTCATACAATGTTAATACTCTGGACGGTTGTGATATATGCGGACAAAGACTTATGTCTTATTTGGATGACTTTCTTACTGCTTTTTAAAGTAATTTTTTAGTATAAAAATTTTATTTATTGTATTAAAAAACTGCTTTAAGAAACAGTAATAAAGCCGTCCCAAACAAAGTCTTATACTCTAGTTCAGTTTTGGTGAAAACTACTTTGGTGTGTGTGAGTGGATGTGGATCCCAACCCAACAACGCCCGAAACCGCTAATTGTTCGAAAGCAATGCGGCGAAGCCACATAGAACATTTGACATAAACGTTGGGCTGCGGTACAACAAAACACGCTCCTTTTTCCAACCTTCTTGTGACACGTAGAAAGAGCGGGCGAGTCAGGCTGGCCTATGTGGATTGGGCTTCAAAAGATTTTACCTGATTGATGCTGCACCCATTTGAATATGATGTATGGTTCAAGAGAGTACTACTTTTTATTAATTTTATTTTTATTTAGGTGTTGATTGTCGGCAACATTTATAAAATTTTAATATTTAATTTGAAACAAAAAAATAAATTAAAATTCGCGTAAGTGCACTCATCTGCATTTCATTACATATCAAAAAATCAATAAATTAAAAAAAAAATCAGTCAATTAAGCAACTCTTAAATTTCTATTATTGAGAAATGCAAAAATATAATTTTATTTTTTTGTGAAAGCAGGCCGCTAAGCAGCTACTGTGCAGGAAAGACAGAGCTGCTCTGTTTTGTTTTCTTTCCCTTTCCCGGCTAACTAAAATCCAGTTGAATAGTGGAGCATGATAAAGTTCTGAAAGGGAGTTTACGTTCTAAGATAAAATTTGAGAGATAATGCTCAATTTTCTCATCCACCACAAATTTCAGAGATTTTTCTTCAGTCGGCTATCTCCTACGGAAATAAGGACTCAAACGATTCACAGTGTGTGTGTGTGTTTTTTTTTTTAATTTTATTTACCGTATTGTATTTCTTGAGAATTTAATGCTTCATAGGACACAAAGAAAGAAAAAAATTATGTAGTCGATCTCATAGGAAGAACCGTTCGGATATGTTAGTGAATACAATGTACATTATATATAAATTTGTACATAATGTATATCAACTTTTTGAATGTACACTCACAGTCCGGACGATTCTTCCCATCAGTACTCCGTACAGAATAATTTCTCCTATTAATTGCATGGAAGCTTCAAAATTTAAGAAAAAGATCGCCAAACATATAAATTTGAAGAGTTGTTTATGAGATGATTTATTAAATGAAAATAAAAATGGATTTATATAAAAAAAAAATCTCATAACTGATGATAAATCATCATTAAAGATTTTTAATGCTATTTTATAATTATCGGCTTTTGTGGTAAATTTCATTATAAATTTTATGATTATCTCTTCTTTAATCACCATGAATATCACTAAACTTTCATTTGGAACATCTTTCTTATAATTTTATTTTTGAGATTGGAATCACAATTTTTTATTTGGTCAATGCTATCAATAAATTTTTGTAATAGAAAACGATATTCTCTATCACAATTTTAAAAATTGCAGCCATCCCAAATGAATTATAATGCTTCATTTGGGAAAGTTTTCTAATGCTTCTTAAAGTAGCTTTTAGTATAAAACTTTTAATTTTTATATTAAAAAATTACTTTTAAAAGCAGTAAAAAAGTCATCTCAAACAAAACATAAGTCATCATAACAGCTTATATTTTAGATTTTTATGATAATAAAATGATCCACTAATTTTGAACACTATCTATGTGCAATTCATGATAGTGTATTTAAGAAAAAAAAAAGAAAAAAAAAAGGAAAAAAATGAAAAAAGAAAAGAAAAAAGAAAAAAAAATGATAGTGTATTTATACATAAAAAATACACGAAACGTATATACTGCGACGCTTTTTCTTTTGAGGCCGTCCATATCAACACTGGATCACATGGCAAGTACATAGATATCATCCTTGACTCTTAGAGAGAGAATAATAAATAGATCAGAGGATTCCAGAGAGAGTGAGAGGCAACTGAACACCTAATGAAACGGGTATAAATATCCCCTTTGAGGAAGCCTAGCCAACCATGTGCTCCTCACTCTATTAAGAAAATCGAAGTGAAGGAAGGTCGAGTGAGCTAAAACCAGTGAGAGAAGTAACAAAATCTTCAAAGAAAACAGAGAAGAGAGGAAACAAGTAGAAAGGAACCAACTTGTATTGATGCTAGTGTTCTTACGCTTCAAAACTCATTCAATAACCAGTACGAATACTCACTGTAGTTCCCTCGCTTATCTGCACTTGATCGCCTCTGTATTGAGAAACAGAGAGAGATGAGAACAGAGCAAGTACAGAAGATCAAAGTGGTGGTAAGGGAATACGACGCGGATAAAGACCTCGCCGGAGCTGAGGCAGTGGAGAGGTCGTGCGAGGTTAGTCAGAGTGGCGCAGTCTCCATCTTCACCGACCTCCTCGGTGACCCCGCTTGCCGAGTCCGCCATTCCCCTGCCTTCCTTATGCTGGTATGAAATCTATTTTCATGCCCCAACTAAATTCCTTTTTCCATGTTCTTTCCAAATGACGTAGCCTTGACTAATGATACTCGCTTTGTTTTTGGTTAATTTCCCTCCCCTGTTTACTGCCCAAAGGTTGCTGAAACTGTCGGGCCGAAGAAAGAGATAGTGGGGCTCATTCGAGGCTGCGTGAAAACCATCACTTGTGGCAAGAGATCACCCCGTCCCTCCGCCACCGCAGCCGCCGCCGTCCCAATATACACCAAAGCTGCTTACATCGTCGGCCTCCGCGTCTCCCCTTGCCACCGGTACGAGCAAGTTGTCTCACCTCACCAACCATATATAATAAATGTTGTAACTTCAGCTTAAAAAGTGGATAAACAATTAATAAAATGGAAATAATTACACAGTCGCAAGGGAGTCGGGTTGCAGCTCGTGGAACAAATGGAGGAGTGGTTCCGTTCCAGTGGCGCCGAGTATGCGTACATGGCGACCGACAAAGACAACGAGGCCTCTCTCCGCCTCTTCACTGGCCGCTGCGGCTACACCAAGTTCCGCACGCCAAGTTTACTCGTACAACCGGTCTTCGCAGGCCACCGCCTCCCCCTCCGCCGAGCCGTCACACTCGTCCGCCTCTCCCCAGCAAACGCCGAAATCCTCTACCGGCGCCGCTTCTCAACAGTCGAATTCTTCCCCCGCGACATCGACGCCGTCCTCCGCAACCCTCTTTCCCTCGGAACCTTCCTCGCTCTCCCTGCCGGCTCCGGTTGGACCAACATCCACAGCTTCATCGCTGACCCACCCGAGTCATGGGCGGTTCTAAGCGTCTGGGACTCGCAATCCCTGTTCCGCTTCGAGGTCCGCGGCGTTTCGTTACTGCGGCGCGGGCTCGCATGGACCACACGCGTTGTAGACCGCGCCGTTCCCTGGCTTCGCATTCCATCCTTCCCCAACATCTTTCGGCCATTCGGAGGATATTTTTTGTACGGTCTCGGTGGCGAGGGGCCTTCGACGGCGGCCCTTATGCGCGTGCTCTGCCGCCACGCGCACAATATGGCACGTGCCGGCGGTTGCGGGATTGTTGCGACGGAGGTGACGGCGTGCGAGGCGTTTATGCCGGGAATACCGTATTGGCAGAAGTTATCCATTGAGGAGGATCTCTGGTGCATCAAGCGCTTGGCTGAGGATTATAGTGACGGTGCTGTCGGCGACTGGACCCGGTCGGCGCCGGGCAATTCTATTTTCGTCGACCCCCGAGAGGTCTGATTGGACCGAACTACTTCTCTTCGACTCAGGTGGACCGAACCGCCGCTTTAGTGTCCCTTCCTTGTAATATAATTTTGTTTTATCTGTATAAAGCTCCTTTTATTTCAAATTTTATGCATAATAAATTAAGATATAAATAAAAATAATTAAACCCTAAACTTAATATTTTGAAATAAAAATTTTATTATTATTATTTTTTTTGGGGAAATTTTGGGGCCTAAGCGCATCTATTGTGGTAGTCAAAGTTGTTCAGGACTCAGGCAAATGTTGTAGCCATAACGAGCGGTCTAAAACATCAAAATGATTAGAAAGAAGCCCCTGGTTGCCAAGAGACTCTCCAAGGGACTAAGTAGCCGCGGTCATCATTGTCTTGCAAAAAAAATATCTGAAATTACAAAATGATGCACCCTTATTGCCAAAGAGGCTATCCAGGAGAGACCGGGAAGAGAAGCAAATTCCAGAATCCAGCCAAATAAAAATTGAAACGATACAGAGAGGATTAGCATGGCCCCTACGCAAGGATGACACGCATAAATAAAAATTATACACTCATCCATAAATTTGTCCTCGCTACTTAGCAGTCCCCACAGTGTTGGGCACAAGTGACGTGGGCTCAAGGTGGGCCCAAGAGCTCCACGATTCCGGGTGAAAAAATGGGTGTTTTATGTGGTCACATTTCGAAAAGAATTTGCATAACGGTTTTATAGATATGAATTGGAGGAGATGAGAATCCTTGGGGGAGGATGAAGAAATTTATACTAATTTTGTATATCTATCTTCTTAATGTTGATTCTTATTCTGTTTGTCGATATCTCCTTTAAATTATTTGGTTTTTTTTTTTTTTTTTTTTGGAGTGAAGTGAAGTGGATTCAGAAAGTTATATGATTGCGACAAGGCGAAAAAGACGAATACAGTCTGTGCTTTATATATATAAATTATTATGGTGGAGATGCTATTACGTTAATTATATTTATGTAATATAATATTTGAATGGATATGTATCGATAGAGTTAATGGTGGTTACAATCGAGCAACTTACAAATGAGCATTAATGGGTTATGGATGGAATCTTCAGCAGTCGCAAACTAGTCATGAATTTCCAAGCAAATATCTATATATATATATTAAATAATTTTGGGATGTTTAATTTATTTTTTATTTCATTGTAAATTAATTAATGAAATAATAATGTGTACGGTTCTGATAGGAGATCTGTCGAATTTAGCCAACGTTGGTTAGAGATCGTGATAAGCTGATGATGGTTGGAGAGATATTGTCATGCGATAGTGATCAAAAGATAAACGTCAGGTGACACTAGCTAGTGGGTTTTAGTCGGGTGATAATGATTAGAGGATTATAGTCGAAAGATAATGGTCAAATGGATTGTTGTTGGTCAAGGAATGTATATAATTGGTCAATGATGATCGAATGACTATAGTTGGGCGGCAATGTTCAGATTATCGTAGTATGGAAACACTAGTTAGAACACTTTTGTTAGATGATGATGGTTGGAGGACCGTACCGACGCATTAGTTGTTAGAGGATTGTATTCATCGTTAAAGGTTTGATGATGATTTAAAGGTAAAGATTTGAAGTTTGTGGGTAGATTGCAGTGATTCAATGGTGATGTTTAGGGGTGTCAATTTCGAGTCACGGGTCGGGTTTGGGTCGAACCCGAACTGATTCGGGTGCAAACAGGTCGACCATAACCCAACCCGGGTAGATAAACGGGTCAGAAATCCGAACCCGACCCGTCACGGGACCAGCGAGGAGCGCGGGTGAAGTGGGTGCGCACGGGGGCGAGCGCGGGTGCGGCGGTGAGCAAGCTAACAAGCGTGGGTGCGCATGCGGGCGAGCGTGCTCGTGGAGCCGGCGCGGCAGCGCGGGCAGGGGGGCAGCTTCGCGGGCAGGTCCGGGGTAGCGTGGCAACTTCGCGGGCAAGTCCGGGGCAGTGGGGCAGCGCGGGATTTTTTAGATTAA